TCCCTCCTTCAATTTGTGCCCATTGCCCCTTGTGCTGTCCCTGCAGCTCCTAACACAGATCCCTCTGCAGCTTCCCTGGAGCCCCTTCAGCTCCTGCAAGGTGAGGTGCTCTGTCCACACAACCTTCTCTTCTCCAGGCTAAAGAACATTCAGAATATCTTTACACTTTCCCTAGTGCTTGTGTCTGTATATAGTATAGAGAAGACCCAACTACAGATCATACCTGGGAGGGTGAGACCTTGCACCCCAATTGCATATGCACAGAAACCACGGTACTGGATTAGCAACTCATCGAAGTTCTCAGCAGTCTCTGGGAAAAGCCATTCCTGGTGCTCGAGATCAGAAACATTCACTCTAGTGTCTAAGACAAGATTTAACAAAGGAAGAATTTCAGTCCCAAAGCATCAGACATTTAAACTATATTTATCTTACAGGATGACTCAAGTCATAGAATCAGAGAATCAATTGAGTTGGAAAAGACCTCCACGATCACCGAGTCCAACCCTCCCGTGGTCACTAGCCCATGGCACTAAGTGTCACATCCAGTCTCAGCTTGAAAACCTCCAGGGATGGGGAATCCACCACCTCCCTGGGCAGCACATTCCAATGCCTGAGCACTCTCTCTGCAAAAAATCTCTTCCTAAGATCCAACCTAACCCTCCCCTGGCAGAGCTTGAGTCTGTGCCCTCTTGTCCTGCTGCTGGTTGCCTGGGAGAAGAGACCAACCCCCACCTGACTCCAACCTCCTGTCAGGGAGTTGCAGAGGGTGAGAAGGTCTCCCCTGAGCCTCCTCTTCTCCAGGCTGAACACCCCCAGCTCCCTCAGCCTCTCCTCATGCCACTTGTGCTCCAGTCCCTTCCCCAGCCTCGTTGCTCTGCTCTGGACCTGCTCCAGCCCCTCAATGTCCCTCCTGAGCTGAGGGCCCAGAACTGAGCACAGTAAAGTCCTTTGGTTTCCCAGGATGACCTGCAGTGCCAAGGTCCCAAAAGTCAATCTTTAGCCCTGCCTCTAATGAGAACCTACTCAAAAATCAGTCCTGAAGGAGCTTTCTTTGGTAGCATCAGGTTTCTCAGGAGAAAAGGAACAACAACAGGAAGGAAATATCTTAATTCTTCTGTTTTGTTTTCACCCACTCACACATTACAAACTGCCTGGTGTAAAACCTGGTTCCTAGGGACACCATCATGCAAACAATCACTGCAGGTAATAAAAGCCCCATTAAATCAGCTTTTTTATCCCTCCCTCCATTCCAGAAGTTCCAAAAGGTATAAAAAAGGCATAAATAAACTTAAGGACATAAAAAAAACCATAGTAAAATATTCTTGTCTGATGATTCTGCCATTTTTGTACAGGATGTTTGGATCTAGTAGCTACATTTGAATTTTATATATAAAAATTAAATCCCAAGCACAAGAGAAAAATCAATCTACACACTCAAGGCTTATTTTCACTGTGCAAACTCTGAATATTAAAAGGATCAATATGGAGCACCTTCTGTCAAGAAAATTCAAACTGCAAAATGAAGGAAAACAAAACCTTTCCATACCCATGGTTTCCCTTATCCTTTCCTCATCACTTTTCACAGTCACTCCTTTCAGAAGAGATGCCAGGACTCCCTCAGGAAAGAGCTGTGAGTGGATTTCTGAGAACTGCTGCAGATCGTTAGTCATACTCGTGAGGAAGTTTAGCAGTAGCATTTCATCCTGAAAGCTGGTCCAGAGGTTTGACAGTGCCACGAAGAGAGGCTGGAACATCAAGAAAACGGTCTGAAATCCAGAATTGTTTCATCCGAGAGCTGTGCACAACAATCTCACCTATGAATCAAGCAGAGCTGATCTCCAAGGCCTTCAGCACCCACAAATTCCAGGGGAGCTCCTGGTCACTGTAAGAGGAGCTCCCACCACACAGCACTGAGCTGGGACCTCCCCAGTGCCCAGTGCCGGGGGATGACACTGCCCTAGTGCTGCTGCCACACTCTGCTGAGCCAGGACAAGGTGCCCTTGGCCTCCTTGGCCACCTGTGCACACTCTTGGCTCCCACTGAGCTGTGCCCCCAGCACTGCCAAGGCCCTTTGGGACCAACACCTCTGTCCCCACTGCTCCCCCAGCCTGGAGCTGCATGGGCTGTTGTGTGCCAAGGGCAGCACCAGCTCTGAGCCTCACTGACCCTCCATTCATATCCATCATTCTCTCTTCCCCCAACACCTCCCTGCCCTGTCCTACAGCTCCCAACCCAGGGGGACACAGCACAGAACATGACAATTCACTGGATTTCACTGGCCTGGCAGTACACAAACCACTTCAGACTTCATAGAATCAGAGAATCAATTGAGTTGGAAAAGACCTCCAAGATCATCAAGTCCAACCCTACCGTGGTCACTAGCCCATGGCACTAAGTGCCACATCCAGTCTCAGCTTGAAAACCTCCAGGGATGGGGAATCCACCACCTGCCTGGGCAGCACATTCCAAAATCTCAATCTCAGGAGGGCTCTAATTGTGTCTTTCTAGCTGCTGTTTTTTTAAACCACAAAACTTGCAGAAAGTTACACATTTTGAGACTTCTGCACTCTGACAAAGGTGACTGAGACTGCCTTTTAGTTTAGTTTAGTTACCCCTTTAAAAGTCACAGGTGCTATCAGAATAGAGAGAAAACAGTGCAGCCTTTTTCTTAACACAAGCTCTGCAAAAATACACCAGCAAAGCATTTTGCAATGCTTTAGCAATCATTTATAATTAAGAAGAAAGAGGCTCTGCATTCACAGTACTCACAAAAACTTCCTTGGTGTCTATGGAAACCTTATTCTGCACTTTGTTCTTCAGCTCCTCCATCGTTGCTGCAAACTGCACCTTCACCTTTTCAACCTCTTGAGCACTGGTAATTGCATCAGACTGGAAAGAGAAGCATCACACTCAAAAAATCAGATATTTAGTGGTAAAGTGTTCACTTGGATCTCTTCATTCAACTATTTTCAGGCAACAGTTTTAAGGAACACCCTAACCTACCACAAAATACATGTTTCATTACGTGTTCAGGTGTCAAACCAGGCACTTCACTCAAGGAAATAGAGTAATTTTGGTAGGAAATCTCTACATCTTTACAACAAAGAGAACTGGGGAAAAAATAATTAAGGTTTTTAAATACAGGAAAGACAAATAAACTCCTGCAGTTTCTCAAAAGGAAAACTCATCATTAACAAAATGAAAAATGTAAATTGTGTTCTTCAAAGACTTCTGATGACTCCACATGTCTTCATGTGTCTGCAGACTAAAACTGAGATGATTTATGGGTTGGTCAAGGACATGTTTTTTTCTCTCATGCCTCTTGGGGCAAAGTATCAGTATACAAACCAGAAAAGAGTGGTGAATGGAGTTAAATCCAGTTGGGGCTGTCACCAGTGATGCTCCCCAGGGCTCAGCATCAGGGCCAGCCCTGTTTAACACACTTATCGATGATCTGGACGTGGGGATTGAGTGACCTCAGTGAATCTGCTGATGACACCGAGTTGGGTGTGGATCTGCCTGAGGGGTGTTTAACCTGACAAAAGGAGGCTCAGGGTGACCTTCACGCTGTCACAACTCCCTGACAGGAGGTTATAGCTGGGTGAGGATCAGCCTCTTCTCCCAGTAAACTTAGGAGGAGAGGAAATGGCTTCAGGTTGGATATCAGTGGAGGCTTAGGCTGGATATCAGGAAAAATTTCTTCCGAGAAAGGGTTGGCAAGCATGGAAAAAGCCTGCCCAGAGAAGTGGTTGGGTGCAAGCATGGGAAAAGCCTGCCCAGAGAAGTGGTTGGGTCCCCTTACCTGTCTTACTTAGAAGATGTGTAGATGTGGCACTTACAGACCCAGTTTAGTGGTGGACTTGGCAGTGGGTTAATGGTTGGACTTAATGATTCCAAAGGTATTTTCCAGCCTAAACAATCCCTGGTTCTATGATTCTCTATCTAGAGACACATTATATTTCATTTGTTTCTGACTCATTTTCCCTTATACTTCTGCCCTGTTCAAATAGGCACCTTGAACACATTCCACCTGCACCAAAACCCCACAGGACAAAACGTGGTGGTGTCTCACCAGGAGGATGCAAAGGAAGGCCTCATACTGCCTCACATGGAACAATGCTTCTCTCAGTTTCCGAGGCCTGAGCTCCTGGAATCTCTGCAGATCTTCCTGCATGGACTCCAGCAGTGCTGTGTACTGGTGGGCTAGCATGTGGCAGGTATCAAGGCCTGCATCAATGGTCTGTGTAGCTGCTGGAATGGCTTCAGTCAGAATGGCTGGCACTGTTAGGAGAGAATAAACATGAGATCTATATAGAAATAATTATATAAGTCATTATCAAATGGCTGAAGTACAGTGTTTAAGCAGAGTAATCTCCCAATAAAATCCTGAGTTCTAAATTTTGACCTTAGATTCCTGCATTTCCAAACATTTGAGTGTTCAGGTTCAACCACTGTGAGTCAAGTGGTTTCAAACAGAACTACAGGTGTGGACACTGTCCCACAGGACATCCTTGTCTCTGAGTTGGAGAGCCATGGATTTAATGGGTGGACACTTGGTGGGTAAAGAA